ACACCTCATTAAAAACAAAATTTCTTGTAACTTTTTTACCTTATGTTTCCGAGCTCTCTTTCTTTCTTTAACAAAAGCTGACAAACAAAAGGATCAATATATAGGTTTAACAAGCTTCTTCTAAATGTTCACCTGTTGTCGATTTTATTTTAGTAATCATACGAATCGTAATTCGTAACAAGTAATATAATGGACTTATAAGTCCGAATTATCGTTTCCATGAAAATTATACTTTTAGCACTTATTTCAATTTTTTCTAACCACTATTCGATGGAAGCAAACAAAAACTTATATGATTTGAGTTGTAATCTAAATACACGAATCGAATTCTCCTGTTGTATTCAATTTATCCATCTCGAGTTCTTATTGAGCTTATTTAACTACTAAAATTTCATATCTTTATACGAATCAAACTTAATTAAACGAAAAATTGGTTCTAAGAATTCAAATATGATCGCAATAATGAATATATGGTATCTCTACACGTTATATTAAATTACTGAATTTTAATATATAGTCTAAACAAATAATTCGTATCTCTACGTAACTATTCTTCACAAAATCATTGAATAATTGGTCAGAAAATTCAAAGCATTGAGAACATAATTAAAATCAACGCATGTACATAAAAGAACTTGATTCTTGAATAAAAAAAATAAATAAAGTGTCTCAAAAGGTTACGTTGTTCGCCCTAATAATAAATTTAGCAGTTCATAATAGAGGAAGAAAAGCAAATAACCATAGTGGAGTCAATCACCGAGTTTTAAATTTAGATGCGGAGAAGTGGATGAATCTTGCACCAAGTTCTTCTTTCCCATTTCAAATCTTGATTTTCAACCCCTGAATTGTCGTTTTTTTTCTCTTGAATTTGCGCTCAAACTCTCAATTTGTGTTCTTGCCTCTCAATGTGTGGAATCCATTTCTTAAAGTGTGAAAAATTGTATTCGTAAATGCCTCCTTGTGTGTATAGATAGTATGGTTTTTGTGAACTTCAAAACTGGCCAAAAATGGGTCCTAGATGCACACAGGCAACGCCTCGACGACATGTAGCGGTGCTGTGGCTCCACGACTTAGTTTTTGCTGCTCCTCGGCGCCCTAATGGTGGGGCCGCGGTGCCACCTTTCGGGTGGAAAATTTGACTGCGTTTCTTTCGGTATATTTATCATAATTTTTTCACTGATATCCGATTGAGGCGATTCAAGATGCACTGGAAAACTATTTCAAAGGGCAACAACTTTGCTTCAAATATTATTTTCAAATTCGATCATATGCTATGTCAAAAATGGATCTCAATATGAGGTTAAGAACGATGTATAACTTTTTTACGATTGAAACTTGATGTGTAATCATGCTTTGATTATGTTTCATCCCTTTGACGTTTTTCTTTATTTAGTTGACTCCGAGCACTCTTGAATCTTTATCATGAAGTTCGACATAACTTTTGAGTCTTTACACTTTATCGTGTTCATTTATTTGAGTGTTATTTATGTATTTTAATAATTAGATACATGAAATTTAGTAAATCTATGCACTCACTACATATATGTATTTGGTGGTAGAGAGGTGATTAATGGAAATTGGGATTGATTCATAGCGAACATGGACGTCTATTTTGAAGGATGGGTGTCAGAATAATTACATTCTATGAAAAATTTTAGAAATATGGAGGCTATGATCATTGACCTAACCTTACTTTTTCCAAAATTCTACATTTGTCTCTTTTTTTCCTGTAATTGGTCCATTGCGAGGGCGACGGTGCACGACCCAAGAATCCTTGACAAAGTAGAATTTTCCAGTTTCCACATTATGTGATGCATTCCGATTCCTTTTTCTTCTGCAATTTGATTTTGGAGCTGTTCTTTTGTATTCTTATTAGCCCTTTTGAGTTAATTTCATATTTTGTCACAACTTTTAATAAAATCTTCATTGCACCATTCAACTTTAATTTGTCTCAAATTCTCGATTAGCAAACTTGTTTTCAATATAAATTACCATGTCAACTTCGTTACTAAATTAAACAAATTCCAACAATCTAAAGTGTCAAATGTTTTCAGATAAATATTTAGAAAGTAAATCGATATTAATTCGTTTGAGATATTTAGTCGCAAACGAGGGCTAACGAAGAATTACAATGTTATGTTTGGTAATAAGGGCTGACATTGAAAATAAATTGATGATTTAGTAATATGAATACGATAAATCAAAGTTGAGTAACCAAACTCGAGTATTTCTTTTATACTGTTTAAGATTCTAGAAGAAAATATTTTTCAAAACAAATACTAATTTCTGGTTCCAAAACTTTTCCATGGTCAAATCAATATGGCGTACAATTGTTGAAAACGAAAAAACAAAGAAATTAGTGAATCCACGAGGGGAAAAAAAATCGTGTACCAATCAGCAATACTGTATTTTTATGGCTTCTAAGAATATTTTCAAAATACTCTCTATTCTTAAATAGCATATTTCCTAATTCAGGGAGTATATATAAATTTAGAAAATAAAAACTTTAAAGTACCCCAACAATCTCTTTATATTTAATATTTAATTTTACTGCTTCAAAAATTATTTATTATTTTTCTCTATCTTTTATTTTAACTAACAATATCCTAGATTATTATATTATTTTCCTACATTGAAAATTAAAATACTTTGAATGTATTTTATAGAGAGTGTGTTTAGCTCTCCAAACCAACTCTCCAAATTAAAATGTTAATTTAAGAAGTTTATTGAAGCATGATTTTAAGGATTGACTTTTGAGAGCATTTCATATTTAAAGAACATCTTAAAGATGCTTTAATATCCATCTAATTATTCACGGAAAATAATTAGACGGATATTATTATTAGAATCATTCTACAAGTACATCAATTTTTACACATTTTTTCACAGCACTCACACATGCAAGTGGGTGGAAACCACTATTAAAATAATCGTGCACCCCATCTCTATGAGGAAGTTTGAAAATTGCTGTAAAAAAAATGATGTATAAATAGTATTTTTGTTATTATTATTGGTCGTGAAACAACATACTCAACTTTATAAGCAAATAGTACTTGACAACGTACACGACACGTTAAACAAAAATTTAAACGGCTCCCTTATTTCAAATCGATTATGTAACTATAATGTAAAGGTCATGATCCCGTGGACTAACTTTTCCTTTTAAGAAGTATGAAAGATGAAATTTTTCCTATATAAGAAGGGCTTAAAATTAGTGTCATCTTACTTTCTCCTCTATTGAAAATCCGTCTACACCAACTAACCTTAATATCCACCATGGCCAATGCAGCTCTAAAACTCATTTCCACCATTTTTATACTTGTATTTCTCTCAAGCTTCATAATCCCAGGACATGATTGTCAAGAATTTTCAAGAAAATTATCAAAGAAAGAATTTGGCCTCAAAAAACAAAAACTAAGCCACCTGCACTTCTACTTCCATGACATAGTAAGCGGCCGAAATCCCACCGCCGTCCGCGTAGCTTCTGCCGCCATGACAAACACCTCCTCCAGCTCTTTCGGCGCGATGTTTATGATGGACGATCCTTTGACAGTCGGCCCAAACATGACCTCCAAACTCATCGGAAGGGCACAAGGCATTTATGCATCGGCGGATTTGGATGAACTCGGTCTTTTGATGGTTTTGAACTTTGCTTTTGTTGAAGGCAAGTACAATGGCAGTACCCTCAGCGTGCTGGGGCGGAACATGGTGTTTTCCGCCGTGAGGGAGATGCCGATTGTCGGCGGAAGTGGGCTTTTCCGATTTGCTCGTGGCTATGCTCAGGCAAAGACTCACTATGCTAATTTACAAACTGGGGATGCCATTGTAGAGTATAATGTATATGTCTTCCATTATTGACATATCCCTAGTGTACTACTGTCGTAAACCTTTCAACCGACATATTTTCGAAATTCTAAACATTGTTACAAGTGATTTTGGTAGTATTTTCTGATGTTTTCAAAATTAGATTTATAAACGTGCTTTGTACGTTGTATGAGACGATACTTCATGGCTTCCATAATTTATAGTTGAAAAATATTCTCAATCACAATTATTTTACTTTGTTGATAATTCGGTAGTGTTCATAAAGATTGTACAAATAATAGATCTTACCAATATTTTTAGAAATTAATCAATTAATATCCTCGTAAAATGCACATTACACCAAACATGCACTGATTGAAATTAATACTAGTAATTAAAAATACAAAATGTGACTCAATATGAATCGAGACATGTGAAAACCACGCTTTCTTTCATTTTTAAGGTTCTTTTCTTCAAGCTTGATCACTAATATTTTTGAATAATGTTACCCAACACTAGTGATATTATAGTACTCGTTTAAGAGGCCGCTCTTAATATATTCAATCAAATGAATAATGTACTATTGTATTTAAATGAATAT